GCACAAGTGGCCCATCTCTGGGTTCTCCTTTCACCACACTGCGTGTAGACTGAGGATTCTTAGCAAGCCTTCTATAGAGGCACACCATGGTTGGGCTGTTTTTATATGGAATGAATGGCTTAAAAAAAAAGAACCAAAGGTTTCAATTAGCACCTTGAATTGCATCCAGAAATAAACTGGCAAATAATGAAACCCCTGCTGTACTGTTAGGTGTTAGCATGGAGTTATCCTTGTTAGTGTGTGGGCTGCTACATTTTGCATTAGTTGTAGTTTCCAGATGGTCTTTAAGGGTGGTCCCATGCAGCATATTACAATGCTCCATCTGTGACATAGTGACTATTGCTAGCAACTTCCATTCCAGGAATGGCTATAATAGACAAAGGCTTCTTGGTTACAGCTTCCAAGCTTTCTGAGAACCAAGAGTCCAGAAGTATCCCAATTTTTCCCTACTCTTTCTTAGGGAGCGTAACTCTTTCCAGAGCATTCATAAATGATTTTACTTATTGTCAGCTTTTCCACAGCATTCCATTGTGCTAGCATTGAACCTAAATGTATTTCTTCCAACCCAAGAGCTTGCAGCCTCCAGACCTCAGTCAAGATCTCCATTGCATCTCCTGGATGCACTGAGACAAAAGATACCATCTATATATTGATGAATCTGAACCCTAAACTTTTCAAAACCCAGCAATTTCATGTAAGAGATAGCAAGCTAGCTGAGCCCACATTGGAGGACACAGGAGTGTTATTTGTCTTCCAATATGCAGACATTTTCCTTCCTTCAGGAAGGAATGGAAACACTAAGGATCAGTGACGTGCAGTCAGGTGAGGCAGGTGAGGCACAGCCTCACCGCTCTCATCATGAAAAGAAAAAAAATGTAAAGGGAAAAAGACAAGTGTTGAGGTGAGGCTAGCTGCTGCCTCACCGTGAATGACTGCCTAACTGTTTAAAAAAGCCTCTTAAAAAGTGCCCTCTACTATGAGGCAGGAGAACTGCATGACTTTTTAGGCGTTTTATGATCGCTCAAGCAGAGTTAAGCGAGGCTTAAAAGCCTGAAAAGTCCCGAGATAGGTGAGGCATGCAGTGCTCCTGCCTCATAGTAGAAGGCGCTCATTCTTCCTGTGACTCAATGGCACTGCCGCTATCCCTCTTCCCTTTTTCTTCCCTTCTCGCTTGCGATACAGTGACAATAAAGGGGGAGCACAGAGATGTACCTTCATCTCTTCATTGATTTCCCTTTTTACAGGATGAGCCGGCTTCCCGCTTCTTTTATTTTCTGGAGGTCTCACTTCTTTCTCCATTTCTGCCACTTTTTATTTTATTTTATTTTATTT